TGTTTCGCGCAGGCACCAAAATACTGAGCCACACCCTTATTGCCAACAGCGTCCCCGATAGGACCTCTGTCCCAGTCAAGTTGCTGCTGTTCCTCTCCAATCGAATGTTGAAGAAGGATCAGAAACTAGCTTTATGCTTGTACGTCCAGTGGCTTGCAGTAGCTCCATGAATCGATTAATAGTTGCATAGTTTTTTCATGTCGTACGAGTAGAAGTGATGGATTGGGTATTTGAACGATATAACTTCATTAGTGATGCTCATAGAAAGAAGTTATGACATGGCCCTTCTCAATAGATTGCGCTCTTATGGGAAGCAACAGGGTTAGTGAGAGAAATGTAGAAGTCGAAAAGAGCTACAGTCAGTAGCAGTACAACTTCATCGCGTGGTGAACACAGTGCTAGCTGTCTAGGTTCCATGTCGATGTTGCTGATCGAAGCCCTACACTGTCGAGTAAAACTGGGCATCCAGGAGGAACGGTAAGAGGAGGGCAACAGGGACTTGTTTATTATTCGATGTGTTAATGGTGGTCTCAGAGAGACCTCCTTCCCCAGCTCATGGCTTGTGCTGCGGACACTAATACGAATCTTGTACTGGAATGCGACGATAACATTACACAGATATCTATGATAGAGCCCGATCGTCATCATGTTGTAGAATTGACTGATTTCACTATGGATTCAGTAATGCTCGTGAGTTTGACTATCACTACGGAGGCTACACCATCAGGTCCGTCACGTGTTCGTTCCTAGTCTCTTGTCGGATCGTCCGAAAGCTACGGCTGAAGGTTAGCATTGGAATCAATGATACTGTGGGGACATTCAGATCAGGCCGGGCTGGAGACTATCAACGGGACGACGCGGGGCATTTCGACGCTCTTTGGAGTTTGTTCGGAGGTCATCCGGCAACTTTGAGGAAACTTAGCGAGTGCGATACAAGCCTGACGGAGCATTCGGTGGCAGTCTACTCTATAGGTACTTCGATGAGGCTACTAAGATGGATAAGGCTGAGAGGACGAGGAAGGAGATGGAGATGCGTGAACATCGGAAGCGAGGGAAGATGCGAGACATTGTATCCCCGTGCGTTTTCGAAGGGACTATACGGAAAAACGATGCCTTGAGGTAAGCCTGTGGGAAACTCCACTATGTTTCCATTTGAATCCGCTCGCTCATGAAAGGGAAGTCACGTGAGGAGTACGTTCTGGCTCCATCGTTGGATATAGGGACCTATCGGATGGTGAGATTACTCAGGAACTGTGCGACTGTGTTGATGAGTACTGATCCGAGTGCGCCCCTCCGTGCTGATCTGGCCATCTTTGACGAGCAGATTGCAGAACTGATGAACAGTCGACCATTGCAGAACATACGGCGGGGACTTGCTGACTTGAGCTCAGGAGCGATGTGCCCAGTAGCCATCTCTAGGGCATTCTATTGACGATCTTCTTCGAATGGCAGGTCGAATATAAAGTTATTGTGCTCGAAAGCATCCGGCATATTGTCAAGCGATGCACT